TCGCGGAACCCACCCCAGTGTGGCCTGGCCGGGCTGTCTGGGAGCAGGGTGGGAGTTTCCTCTCCCCAGGCCCTGGGCTCTGGGTGTGTGATCGGCACCGGGGAGGCTCACGCTGCGGGGTGCAGCCTCGTGGGGGGGCACGGGAGGGTTTGCCAGGAGGAGACTCAGCTGCGCTCTTCCCTCCCAGCCGGTCCAGACGCCTCTGCAAGTGGGACCTGTTTGCCACGCCTCGGCCCCAGAGCTTCCAGGTACTGAGCACCCGCCTGGGATCCAGTCCCCAGCAGGCCCCGGCGGGCAGCCCCTGCAGAGCCGCTCCCCAGCGAGCCAGCGTCCCCGCGGTGCCTGACAGTCAGGCCGGCCCCCTGGACTCCGGGCCTCCCCCTCCAGAGAGCCTTCTGTCAGTGGCACCTCCCTGCTCCCTGCGGGTCACCGGCTCGGCTTGTTCCGTGTCCCGCCCCCTGCCGGGCCCAGCTGAGCTCACCGTCCCGTGCCCGACGGGGACCCTCGTGTCCGTGTCCGTGTCCCGCCCCCGGCCGGGCCCAGCGGAGCTCGCCGTCCCATGCCCGATGGGGACCCTCGTGTCCGTGTCCGTGTCCCGCCCCCGGCCGGGCCCAGCGGAGCTCGCCGTCCCATGCCCGATGGGGACCCTCGTGTCCGTGTCCGTGTCCCGCCCCCGGCCGGGCCCAGCGGAGCTCGCCGTCCCATGCCCGATGGGGACCCTCGTGTCCGTGTCCGTGTCCCGCCCCCGGCCGGGCCCAGCGGAGCTCGCCGTCCCATGCCCGATGGGGACCCTCGTGTCCGTGTCCGTGTCCCGCCCCCGGCCGGGCCCAGCGGAGCTCGCCGTCCCATGCCCGATGGGGACCCTCGTGTCCGTGTCCGTGTCCCGCCCCCGGCCGGGCCCAGCGGAGCTCGCCGTCCCATGCCCGATGGGGACCCTCGTGTCCGTGTCCGTGTCCCGCCCCCGGCCGGGCCCAGCGGAGCTCGCCGTCCCATGCCCGATGGGGACCCTCGTGTCCGTGTCCGTGTCCCGCCCCCGGCCGGGCCCAGCGGAGCTCGCCGTCCCATGCCCGATGGGGACCCTCGTGTCCGTGTCCGTGTCCCGCCCCCGGCCGGGCCCAGCGGAGCTCGCCGTCCCATGCCCGATGGGGACCCTCGTGTCCGTGTCCGTGTCCCGCCCCCGGCCGGGCCCAGCGGAGCTCGCCGTCCCATGCCCGATGGGGACCCTCGTGTCCGTGTCCGTGTCCCGCCCCCGGCCGGGCCCAGCGGAGCTCGCCGTCCCATGCCCGATGGGGACCCTCGTGTCCGTGTCCGTGTCCCGCCCCCGGCCGGGCCCAGCGGAGCTCGCCGTCCCATGCCCGATGGGGACCCTCGTGTCCGTGTCCGTGTCCCGCCCCCGGCCGGGCCCAGCGGAGCTCGCCGTCCCATGCCCGATGGGGACCCTCGTGTCCGTGTCCGTGTCCTGCCCCCAGCCGCGTCCCAGCTGCCAACGAGGCGGGAGGCTGAGTCCCAGGAGGATCTGGCTGCAAGTAGGACAGAGGAGGCCTCCTCTCCCGGGGGCGCTCCCAGGCGCTCTGCAGGGCCCGTCAGTGCAGCCCCTTGCCTGTGTCCCCAGATCGGGATCAATGTCACTGAAGCCCAGAAGCTGGTGGGGGTGAACATTGACCCCTTTGTGGTGGTGAAGGTGGGGGAGGAGAAGAGGCAAACGGCAACGCAAAAGTCAACCAACTGCCCCTTCTACAACGAGGTAGGGGGGCGGGGGGGCCCCCCTGGCAGGGGCCCTGCAGGGCAGCAGCAGAGCCACTGCCGGGGGGCTGAGGGCAGTTCTTGCTGCTGCTATGGGACTGTGCCCCCCAGGCAGCTCTGTGTCCAGCCCCGCCTGCTCCCTCCAGCCCCGCCCACTCTCCTAAGCCCCGCCTGCTCCCTCCAGCCCCGCCCACTCTCCTAAGCCCCGCCTGCTCCCTCCAGCCCCGCCCACTCTCCTAAGCCCCGCCTGCTCCCTCCAGCCCCGCCCACTCTCCTAAGCCCCGCCTGCTCCCTCCAGCCCCGCCCACTCTCCTAAGCCCCGCCTGCTCCCTCCAGCCCCGCCCACTCTCCTAAGCCCCGCCTGCTCCCTCCAGCCCCGCCCACTCCCCTAAGCCCCGCCCGCTCCCCTGAGCCCTGCCTGCTCCCAGGCAGCTCTGTGTCCAGCCACGCCCGCCCCCCCAGCCCACGTTGCACCCTGCCCCACTCACTCTGTCCCCCCCCAGCAGTGCTGCACCTAGCCCTCCCTGCTCCACCCCATGCCCAACCCCGCCCAGAGGCTCTGGGCCTCTCTCGCGGTGCCCTTGCTGCAAGCGCTTTGCTCAGGGGGCCTCTTCTCTTGCAGTATTTTGTGTTTGAATTCCATGAGCCCAGGGAGGTTTTATTCCACAGACTCATCGAGATCTCGGTAAGTCGGCCCTCGGGCAGGGAGCTGTGGGATGCCAAGAGCTGGCATGTGCCCTGTGGGGTGTGTGCGGGTTGCTATGTGCGCCACTGTGCGCCTGGACGGGTTGCGCTGTGTGTGTGTGTGTGTGTGTGACGCTGTGCGTGTGTGTGTGTGTGTGTGTGTGTCGCTGTGCGTGTCGCTGTGTGGGTGTGTGTGTGTCGTGTCGCTGTGTGCCGGTTGCTCTGTGTGCGTGCACGTGCAGGTCGCTGTGTGTGTGTGGGTCGCTGTTCACCAGTGCAGGTCGCGCTGTGTGTGTGTCGCTGTGCGCATGTTGCTGTGTGTGTGTGCACATGTTGCTGTGTGCGTGTCACTGTGCGCATGTTGCTGTGTGTGTGCGGGTCGCTGTGTGCATGTGCGTGTCGCTGTGCATGCGCGCACACGCGTGTGTCTCCCTGTGTGCGGGTCGCTGTGTGCACATGCGGGTCGCTGTGCACCTGTGCAGGTCACGCTGTGTGTGTGTTTCTCTGTGTCTGTGTGTGTGTCACTGTGTGTATGTTGCTGTGTGTGCGCTCGTATCGCTCTGTGTGTGCACATGTTGCTGTGTGCATGTCGCTGCGTGTGTGTCACTGTGTGCATGTTGCTCTGTATGTGCAGGGCTCTGTGTGCATGCGCGTGTTGCTGTGCATGTGTGTGTGTGTCACTGTATGCGGGTCGCTCTATGCGTGTGTGTCGCTGTGTGCGCATGTGGGTTGCTATGTGTGTGTTTGCGGGTCACTGTGTGCCTGTACGGGTCGCGCTGTGTGTGTGTATTGCTGTGTGTATGTGTGTGTCGCTCTGTGTGTCACTGTGTGTGTGTTGCTGTGCGTGCACGTGTATTGCTGTGTGCGTGTGCATGTTGCTGTGCATGTGTCACTGTGTGTGTGGCTGTGTGTGTGTCACTGTGCACATGTTGCTGTGTGTGTGTGTGGGTCGCTGTGTGTGGGTGCGCGTGCGGGTCGCTGTGTGTATGTCACTGCTGTGTGTGTGTGGGTTGTTGTGTTTGTGCGCGTGTTGCTGTAGTTGGGTCACTGTGTGTGTGTGTCACTGTGTGTGCGCATGTGTTGCTGTGTGTGTATGTGTCTCTGTGTGCAGCTCACTGTGTGTGCACGCGTGTTGTATGTGTGTGTGTGTGTGTGTGTGTCGCTGTATGCGTGTCGCTCTGTGTGTGTATATTTCACTGTGTGTGGGTGGGTGTGCGCGTGTGCATTTTGCTGTGCGTGTGGAGGTTCGCTGTGTGCGTGTCGCTGTGTGTGTCGCTGTGTGTGTGTGTGTGTGTGGGTCACTGTGCGAGCGTGCGTGTGTGGGTCACTGTGTGTGTGTGCGGGTCGCTCTGTGTGTATATGTGTGCGCGCGTGTGTGTGTCGCTGTGTGCAGGTCGCTGTGTGTGCGCACGCATGTGCGTGTTGTGTGTGTGCGGGTCACTGTGCGCGCGCATTGTTGTGTGTGTTTAGGTCACTGTGTGTGTGTCACTGTGTACGTGTGCGGGTCGCTGTGTGTGTGTGTGTGTCTGTGTGTGTGCGCGTGGGTCACTGTGCGTGTTGCTGTGTGTGTGTGTGTGTGTGTCACTGTGTGCATGTCGCTGTGTGTGTGCAGGTCGCTCTGTGCTTGTGTGTGTGCGGGTCGCTGTGTGTGTGTGCATGCGTGTCACTGTGTGTGTGTGAGTGTGTCACTGTGTGCAGGTCACTGTGTGTATGTGTGTGTGCGTGTGTCACTGTGTGTGCGCGTGTTGTTGTGTGCATGTGCGTGCGTGTCACTGTGTGTGTGCGCGTCACTGTGTGCGTGCGTGTCTCTGTGTGTGTGTGTGTGTGCGTGTCACTGTGTGTGCGCGTGTTGTGTGCATGTGCGTGCGTGTCACTGTGTGTGTGCGCGTCACTGTGTGCGTGCGTGTCGCTGTGTGTGTGTGTGTGTGTGTGTGCGGGTCGCTGTGTGTGCGTGTCGCTGTGCACAGGTGCTTATGGACGCACCTTCCCCGTGGCGCCTTTGTGCTGCTGCCCTGGGGTCCCAGCCTCGTGCCCGTTTCCTGGGGGAGGACTCGGCGCCGGAGGCGGGGATGGGCCCTGCAGCCTGTGGGTGGCGGAGTCACGGCTCCGGGACTCGGATTCGCCCTTGTTTCTGGGTGGGGGGGGGCATGGGCTCCGGGACGCCGTTCGCTTTTCCGCCGAGGGGCAGGGCCTGCTTTCCTGGCTGGCGAGCGCCCGCCGTGGCTGCTGTGAGCGAGGGCGGCGAGTGGTGCCGGGGCCCCACGTCTGAGCCTCACGGCTCGCGGCTGGTCAGGCTCCTGCTCTCCTCACGCCCCAGGGGTGCGGGGGCCAGGGCAGGCCCGTGGGAACCCGGCCGCCTCCCGGGACTCGCCTGGCCTGGCCTGGGCCTGCCCACGAGGGAGGGGCTGGCAGGGGCAGGCCTCTGGCTGGGCTCCAGGGGTGGGTGGCCTGGTGTGGGCCTGGGCACAGGAGAGTCACTTTGGCACGCTGAGGCAGCGGCTGTGGGGGTTGGGAGTGGCCTGGTGGCTAGGGAGGCCCCACCTCTTTGGGGCAGAGCTGCCTGTCACCCTGTCCCTAGCCCCGGGCCCTGGGCAGCGGGCAGAGCTAGGCCAGTCAGGGCACTTGGTTGTTGTGTGCAGGTTTTTCACTCAAAGAAGATCCCGTTCCTGGGAACACGCATAGGAACGTTCAAAATGGACGCGGAGACTGTGTACAGCCAGCCAGGTACCGCGCGCACTGGGGCTGCTGCCCGCCGCACTCTCGGGGGCTCCCTGTGACATTGGGGGCAGCTTGAACCCCAATTCCAGCGGCTACTCGGCACCTGAAAACCCGATTGGAGCCCTGGCTCTCACTCCTATAGAAAGGAAGAAAGTGAAATGGCCACCAGACTCGCGCAGCTAGACCCCAGGCACCCCCGGGGCAGGGTTACAAGCGCGAGGTCCACGGTGGCTCGGTCACTGCCTCGCGAGTGCAGCAGCTGAGACACGTGTGGGACGGGCCAGGTCCCAGTCTCTCGCTTCTTGGCCCTTTGCCAAGCTTGGCACAGAGCAGCAGGTCTCACACAGGCTCTCCAGGGGTTCACGAGCCGCTGATCAGCTCCCCCCAGAACCCATGGAACAGCTGCTCAGCAGCATGCAGGGGGTGCTGGGAGGAGCGGGGAGGGGGCATTTTTGGGGAGGGGCGAGGTGCAGTGGGGCAGAAACAGGTGAGGCAGGGGTGGGAGGCCTGCGGCTGAGCGGGGATTGAGCAGCCTGGGGAAAATTAGAAACTGGCTTGGGGGTCCGGGGAAAATAGTAAATCAGAGCAGGGGTCCTCAGATTGCGGACGTTTGAGATCTGCAGGGCCAGCTCATTGAACTTTTGGGAATGTCCTAGTATGGCCAGGCCCCGTGAGTTTATGCTGCACCTGCCTGGGCCTTTAGGGGGTTGCACACTAGCGACTAACCCCTTAGAGCCCACAAGCCCCATCCGGCTGATTTCTTGTTCGGCCAGATGGTCAGAGAAGGAGGTTCGTTCCCTTTGCAGGAGAGAACGCTGCAGGCGAGCAAGAACAGGCGTCCGCATGGCGCTGCTGTAGCCAGCACAAGTGACTTACCTGCCAGATGTCCTAGGTCCCTTCACACTGTAGCCACCATTCCAGAGGTGACGTGTCCATGACCCAAAGCAGAGCAGACCGATGCTTGTTCATCTTCGCCACGACTCAGGTGCCACCAGCACGAGGCTGGTTGTCTTTGTTGGTGGCTGTATTCTGTAGTGTCCACATCAGAGTGTTGCTCTCTTAAGACGTCTGAAGGCATGTTCCACACCAGGTGCCTCTCTGAGTTTGAAGGCACTGCAGATCCTTAAGCCCAGGGGCGAGAGCTGTAGCCGTCTTCAGAAAGCTCACACTGGTGCCTCCTTCTTTATCAGATTGTCTGTGAAAATGTCCTTTAAATGAACATGAGCTGGAGCATCATCTGAGACGGCTGGATCTTGGACTCTATAGCAGAGTGTGGGTGAAACAGAGCAGGAGACACAATTCTCACCCACCAAGTTCAGTCCCAAATTTGAAGTATTGTTTTTTTAACGGGTGTCATCAGCATGGAAGCATGTCCTCTGGAATGGCAGCCAAAGCATGAAGGTTTAACGTGTCTGGCAGTAAATCCCTTGCAATACTAGCTACAACGTGCCAGGTGGACGCCTCTTCTCCCTTTCGTTGTGGCTAAGAAGTGGGCAGTAAATATAAACGATCTTGTTTGTTGTAGCAATTGGCTGACCCAAAGTCGGACTGAGTGAACTTGTAGGTGCTACAGTTTGACCTGGGTTTGATTTGGATGCAGTTATGTAACAAAGAAGCACAAGTGTAGGTTGTGCCTTTGTGAGGGGTTGTATCGTAGAGCACCACTGCGAGGGGAATTGAAAAGTACCGTGTCTGCTGTTTATCAGTGTTACAGTGCAAATATCAGCAATACAAATAGCAATACGAAGTGAGCACTGGACTCTGTGTTGTAGCTGAATCGGTATATTTGAAAGTGTAGGCAGACAGCCGCAGTACGTTGTGCGTGCGATTGGTGTTCTGTGGGTTAGCAGTCTGATTAGCGCTGCCACTGAGCATGATGGATGTTTTGAGTTAATTATGTGCGTTAACTGCAGGGCTAATAAAAAGCCAAGCAACCAGTCCCTGTGGCCAGTGCACAGTGCACAGGGATCTTCATGCTCATTCCCTGGGATTTTGTCCCACCCACATGTAAATCCCAAGCACTTCCCGGCATAACTACGGCACAGACTCCCGGGGTCTGTCCGGGCGTGTGGCTGGTGCGAATGTGCCGGACCCTGGCGCAACAGTGCAGGGCGGCCCTGCCAGCGTCCCCGGAGGATGGGGGTGTCTGTGACTGTTGCGCGTGATCACCAGGGTCCCTTGTGACCTGCAAGTCCAGGAGCCAGTCCCCGGGCCCTGCCTCGGTGCAGCATGGCTCGGCTGCGCCATGGCGTGTGCCTGGGGGTGGCAGAGGGGAGGGGACTGACGGCTCCTCTCCCTTCAGATCACCGGTTCTTCCAGAAGTGGGCTGTTATCAGCGACCCAAAGGACACCAGGGCAGGTGTGAAAGGGTTTGTGAAGTGCAGCATTTCGGTCTTTGCCCGAGGCGATCCAGTGGGCTCCCTCCCCGTGGCCCCCAGCAGCCAGAACGAGGACATTGAAAAGTGAGTGTCCCTGCGGCGGCCGCTGGCCCGCGGCTCACAGAGTCTCTTGCACGCTCTGAGGCCCCCATCATCTGAGACGGGAGAGCCGACGCCATGGGCCTGTGGCCTAGCAGCTCTGCATCCTGCTCTCGGGCTTCGGCATTCACTCTGGCCAGTACAACAAGGGGGATTTCTTCTAGGAACTTGCTGCTGCCGAAAAGAGTCCCAGCCGAGAGGCCATGGGCCAAAATCTGCATCAAGGTCTACCGAGCCGAGGGCCTGCCCAGCATGAGCGCCGGCATCATGGGGGGCTTCTCAAAGATTGTGGGCGAGAAGAAAGTTTTCATTGATCCGTACGTGCAGGTCTCGTTTGCCGGGCAACAGGTAGGTCTCTGCTTGGAGGCTGGGTCCTTGTCTCCGCGGGGCCTGGCAGACCCAT